TTTTTTTTGTATTTTTTTTTTTTGAGGCGGGTTTTTTCACTGTGTAGTGTTGACTGTCCTAGAACTCGCTCTGCAGACCAGGCTGGCCTCAAACTCAGAGATCTGCCTGCTTCTGCCTCCTGAGGGTTGGGATTATAGATGTGTGCCACCACCACCAGGTTTGAGGCCCGCTAGGGTTACATAGTGAGTTGCAAGACAGACTAAGCTACTAAGTGAGCCCCATATCAAAACAGTCAAATTTTAAAAAAGGCTGCGGGGAGCAGGCTGGAATGTGAGAATCTGAGTTAGAACTGTCGGATCCTCAGGCATTAGAGATATGGACAGTCGTGAGCTGTCATGTGGGTGCTGAGGATCAAACCTGGGTCTCCTACAAAAACAAGTGTTCTTTTTTTGTTGTTGTTGTTTTTTATTTTTGTTTTTTTTTTTTTTTTGAGGCAGTTTCTCTGTAGCCTTGGAGCCTGTCCTGGAACTAGTTCTTGTAGAGCTGGCTAGCCTCGAACTCACAGAGATCCACCTGTCTCTGCCTCCCGAGTGCTGGGATTAAAGGTGTGCACCACCATCACCCGACTAGCTTTCTAGCTTTATCTTCAATTATATACTCTAAATTTAACGCTTAAGCATATACTCCTACACCTTCAGATACAAGCTTTCAGAGTTATTTTTGAATAAACTGATGACATGACTTCTCCAGAGTGTGCTGGACTTGTGAGGGGCTGAGAAGACACACAGAGACAGAGAGAAACATTGAAAATAGCAGGGTTATAAGAGTGAGGAACTGGACCTGGAGAGATGGCTCAGGGGTTAAGAGCACTGGCTGCACTCAGGTCCTGAGTTCAATTCCCAGCAACGTGGTGGCTCACAAACGTCTGTAATGAGATCTGGCGCCCTCTTCTGGTCTGTAGGCATAGAGGCAGACAGAACACTGACTACATAATAAATCAATCTTAAAAAAAAAGAATGAGTAACTGGAGGAAGGGAAGTTCCTGAGCTGCGGAGTTTAGGGTAGGGGAGGAGTGAGAAGGGCTGGGACGGCTAGCATGAACTGTGAAATGTGTAACTGAGGGAGCCTGGAGGCACCACAGGGAGCCATGTGTCCTTCTGCCAGTGAGAGAGGGGAACAGGCTTCACAAGTTCCTGAGAAATGCTGGCTTAGTATCTGTTCTTATTTTATTGTTTTTGGTTTTGCTTTTTTGAGGCCAGGTTTCTCTGTGTAGCTCCAGCTGTCCTAGAACTTGCTCTATGGAAGAATTTGCTCTGTCTTAGAACACAGTGATCTGCCTGCCTCTGTCTCCCAAGCACTGGGATTATTGGTGTGAAACACCCACCAACGAGCTTGCTGGCTTTTATCTAACCACCAGAACTCCTCTTGTAGTCCAGGTTGAATCCATTTTTGGATATTTGCATATCCAAAACTGTCGTTGAACTTTTTTGGATATTTGCACTGTCGTTGCAGTTTGAGGAATTGGAGTCTACTTTGTACCTAACAATTTTTTCCTTTGTTTTCTGAGATAGGGTCTCCTGTAGCCCAGACTGTCTCGAATTTGCAATATAGCTGAACATGATCTTGAGCTCCTGATCCCCCTACCTCTGTCTCCCAGGTTGATGGTATTACATGTGAGTGCTACAATGTCAGGCAGCGTCTGATGCTCTTGCCACTTGGAACACTCCATCTGTAATTGTTGCACTGTTCATCAAAGTTCAGCTATGGACATTATACGGGTCAGGAAGTGTTATGGTAAAAGAAGATGGCGCTTGCCGGGTGGTGGTGGCGCACGCCTTTAATCCCAGCACTCGGGTGGCAGAGGCAGGCGGATCTCCGTGAGTTCGAGACCAGCCTGGTCTACAAGAGCTAGTTCCAGGACAGGCTCCAAAACCACAGAGAAACCCTGTCTTGAAAAACAAAAAAACAAAACAAAACAAAAACAAAAAAACAAAAAAAGAAGATGGCGCTGTTCCGTGAGTGGCTCACGGGCCTTGAGAGGCAGAGGCAGGGAGCTGTGAGTGAGAGAGCAGCAAGTCCCAGGCAGGGAGCCAGGTGGCAGGTGAGAGACAGAGACATGGACAGGTATGCCATGCAGAGTCAGGTTGGATATTTAGTAGGTTATGGAGAAGACTGGAAAAAGGTAAGGGAAAAAGCAGAGAGAGAGAGAGAGAGAGAGAGAGAAGAGAGAGAGAGAATGGAGAATGAAGGAAAGGGGAGAAGGGAGAAAAAAAGGGAAGGAAGCTCAGGCTAGAACCCTAAAATCAGCTTGCCTCAGCAGACAGGGGAGGGAGTGGGCGGGGCCTGTCTCTTAAAGGGACAGGACAGACCACTACAGGAAGTTTAACTTTCTCCCCAATCCTTCCCTCCTCCCCAACCCTGTGCCTTTGAGAATCAGATCAAGGACACTGGAGTGCTTATAGCAGTGCTCCCATAGCTGGTAGCACTAACCAGTGTTACTTCATAAGAAGTCTGTTCCTGTGAAGTGAGTTTGCTCCCCTAGAGCGGGTCTGCGCTAACATATTCTAGAACGTGGATAACTAAGTGCGTGATACATAACAGTCAGTTACAATACTCTATGAAATTCTTGCTACAGGTTTGGAGAAGGCTAACGTACTTAAGACGGAGCTGAATGCTTCAAGTTGTGCTGCGACATAATCAGACACAAAAAACCTGCAACCGAAAACGGGGGTGGAGACTTTCTGAGAGAACACGCAATAAGAAGTAATTTTCAGGGTCAAGGTAAATCAGCCGCAAGCAGTGCCGGAATCTGCAATACTGACGCCGCGTGGTCTGCTGGGATTTGTAGTTTCTTCCAGGACAAGGCTCGCTGGAAGAGTATAACTGCTATACATCACTCACAAGTAAAATGCAGCAGCATTCAATCGTACATCACAGAAATCCCAATACAAGGGAAACATACAAGATGACATCCTCGGAGCAAAGTACTTATACGCGAGCACAACCCTTCGATGGCGCGTACGCACTGCTCGCGCCCAGCCTGCTGCCGACGCCTCGCCTCCGGAAGACGCGACCGGCTTAGCGGCGCGCAGGCGCAGTGTCCCCGGGTCAAGATGGCTGCGCGGTGTTCTCCACGCTGGTTGCTGGTGGCGGTGGGAATACCCCGGCTGCCGGCTGCAGCGGGGAGAGGGGCCCAGCAGCCCCGGGGCGGCGTAGTGGCCACATCACTGCCTCGCAAGCTGAGCATCTCTGCCTCCGGGCTTTCCATGAGCGGTCACGGCCCCCGGGCGCTGCTGACATTGAGACCGGGTGTCCGCCTCACAGGTGAGCGAGGCTTCCAGATCTCGAGTAGCGGCTCCTGGGACTAGAAAGGGCAGCTCCCCTCGCTCTGACGACTGGGGTAGCGGGATGGAGGTATCTGCCCGATCGAGAGAAGAATTGCAGGGGGCAGAGAGACCAAGGTGCGGGCTACCCAGAAGCCGTCGAGGGGAAAGAGCTGCGTGGAGCCGGAGGTGGTGAAACGCTCCGAAGGCCGTGAACCTTCACCTCTGTCAACATGCGCCTCTCTGTCCAGGCCGCTGCTCCCTTGCCCTATTCCTCCTCATTTTCTTCACTTTCTAGCTTGTGCTAGGCACCTAGAGATGTGGGGAGATGCAGGTGCTTGTCTTCACTAAGGTCAGAAAGTGTCGTGAATTGACATTTCACAGTTTGCATCCCTAACATCACGTGATGTAAATGGAGCACACATCAGTCTTTTTTAGAATCCTGTAGTAATGCAGTCTAAAATTAATTGAACACTTAGTGTGTATGAAGTATGTTTTTCAGAATATTTCATGTAACAGGCATAGTTACCCTTCCTTTTTTTTTCCTCCTCGAGACAGGATTTCTCTGTAGCTTTGGAGCTTGTCCTGGAACTCGTTCTATAGACCAGACTGTCCTTGAACTCACAGAGATCCTCCTGCACTACCACAGCCTGGGTTACCCTTCCATTTTATGGAGAAAAAGGCTTAGATGTTAAAGAACTTGAAAAAGTTACAGACCAGGAAAGTGGTAGTCTTGTCGTGGCACTTACTTTCCTTATTGCTGGAGAAAATACCAAATCAGTGTGCAGTAAGCCTTGAAGTGCATTGGCCATGATCAGCAGATCAGTCTTTCTCTTTAAAAAAAATATCTTAAGAATTATTTGAGTCTTATATATGGAACAAGAGCTAGTTTCAGGCAGGTAATGAGCTGCTGTTCTGAGAGGCTAGGAATGGAGCTTGTGTCCTCTACAACAGTGGAATGTGCTCCTAACTGTTGAACCATCTCTCTAGCCCTCTAGCCTGTCTGGGAACTCACCCTGTAGACCAGGCTGACCTCAAACTCACAGAGCTCGGACTGCTTCTGTCTCAGTGCTGGGATTAAAGGTGTGCACTCCCACCACCCGGGCCTCGTATTTCCTTATACTGTGTTTACCACTTCAGTGAAGATGAAGGAAGCAAGTATTGAACTCTTAGTTTTGTAGTGGTTCCAGGGACCAAACGTAGAGCCTTGAATTATTTTTTAAGATTGCGTCTTTGCTTGAGAGAGACATAGAGACATAGACAGGCACTAAGTATTACTTCTATATGAAAACAGAACTAAAGAACTTCAGTTTGAGTTCGTTAAGTCAGCCTGTAGGCTACAGTGGACATATTTTATCTCAAGGGATTCCATTTGTGGAAGTGGCATCCCTCAGTGTGTGTCCTGATACCACATCTAAGGTCATCGATTCTGCACCGGAATTTTAATCTGTGCTCATTTCTCAAGCTTGGTTTATGAAATCAGATGACATAAAAATCTTCCAAGCAAAAGAAAACAGTAACGTGCTACTTACATTGGGCATTCTTGAAACAACATGGAAAAGAATCCTGTGTTCACAAAAAGCAAGACATTTACTGGACGTGTCTTGGATAAAGCAACAACAGAAACCAAAGAGTTAACTAAACAAATTCTTCCTAATATTGTTAGCTATTGGTGGCTTTAGGTTTTCAAAGACATCTACCTTGTATAGCCCCGTGGTTATCTACACAGTTTTATGTAAGTTCTCTGCTGCAGTTGTTGGAGCTGCTTTCACAGCCAAACTGCCACTGATAGACTCATCCTCTAGGTAGTGGAAGGACTTGGAGGTTAACCAGCCAGGCTGCTATCAAGTAAAGAGGAGGCTGAATATAGGCTCACTACGAATCCACCACCCAGCTGGCTTTGTTTTTGTTTTTAATTGGAAACAGGGTGTCATGTATTTCAGGCTGTCCTAAAACTTCCTATGTAGCTGTGAACTGAACTTCTGTCATCTGCTTCCTTTTCCCTGATGCTAGGATTATGGGCATGCTTATCATGCACCATTATGCTGAGTTTTTTCAGTGCTGGGAATCAGGTTCAGGGCCCTATGCATGCTTGGTAAGCAATGTATCTACTGAACTATGTCCCCAAGTTGTGCCCTCATTTGAAGTTCATTGAGTTTGGCCTCTAGTATGCTCAGAACAGAACAGACCCTATAGCTGAGTCTTGTTTGATCTTTCACAGGTATTCCATAGTTGCTCATTTATAATTTCCTCTTGTTGGACAAATTCCCAGACTGACTTTCTCGTTTCATTTCCAGGAACAAAAAGTTTCCCTTTTGTTTATACTGCTTCCTTCCACACAAGCGCTTCCTTGGCCGAAGATTATTACCAGATATTAGGAGTGCCCCGAAATGCCAGCCGGAAAGATATCAGGAAAGCCTATCTTGAGGTCTGTATTGGTCTCAGATTGACTGACAAGTTTGTAGAAAGATTGCTGGTGATCTTTATATATATATGTGTCTATTTTAATTTTTAAAATTGTGGTATGTGTCTGTGTATGGACATGTGTACAAGAATGTAGGTGTTCACAGAGGGCACTGGTTACCAGGCGGTGCTGGCACACACTTTAATCCCAGCACTCAGAAAACAGAGGCAGGCCAATCTCTTGAGTTTGAGGCCAGCCTGGTCTATAGAGTTCCAGGACAGCCAAGGCTACACAGAGAAAACTGTGTCTTGAAAAACAAAAAACCAAAGGTATTGGATTCCCTTTAATTATAGGCAGCTGTGAACCATCTGCCATGTCTGGGATTTAAATTCAGATTTTCTGGGAAAGAAGTATGTATTCTTAGCACTGATTGCTGTTCAGTCCATCTCTTCAGCCCAGATTGCTGTTGATCTTGTCTGGTCCCCATTGACTTGGTACGTAGCACACTTGGGCAGGTCACAAGCTGCTGATCCTGTGGAGTTATATGAAAAAATAAAGTGTTGGGTGCGTTTGGTACACTATATAGTATCAATTAATGCTGTTTTTTGTTTGTTAGTTGTTTTGTTTTGTTTTTTTAGTCAGGTTTTCCCCTGTAGCCCTGATTGTTCTCACTCTGTAAACTAGGCTGACCTTGAACTCAGAGACCCTCCTGTTTCTGCCTTCCAAGTGCTAGGATTAAAGGTGTGGGCCATCATTCCCCAGCTAGTCAACTTTTAAGATTTAATTTCTGTGAATGTGTATTTGCCTAATGTATGTATGTGTACTGCCTGTATGCTTGGTGCCTTCTGAGGTCAAACGAGGGCATCAAATCTCTGGAAATTGGAGTTTTAGACAGTTGTAAGCTGTTATATGGGTCCTGGGAGCCAAATCCAGCTCTTTGCAAGAGTGTTAAATGCTTTTTGTCCCTGAGCCATCTCTCCAGATCTTAGTTAACTATTTTTGAAAGACTTTTGGTAGATGAGAAATATGTAGATCTTTAAAAGAATGATTTCTTTTCAAGTTTTAAATCTTGTTTTAAGAATTAGTTGCACTGGGACTGGAAAGATGGCTCAGTGGGTAAGAGCACTGACTGCTCTTCCAGAGGTCCTGAGTTCAATTCCCTGCAACATGGTGGCTCACAGCCATCTGTAATGAGATCTGGTGCCCTCTTCTGGTGTGCAGGCAGAACACTATAAAATAAATAAATAATTAAATCTATCTTTAAAAAAAAAAAAAGCCAGGTGTTGGTGGCACACACCTTTAACTCCAGCACTGGGAGTCAGAGGCAGGTGAATCTCTGTGAGTTCAAGGACAGCCTGGTGTACAAAAGCGAGTTCTAGGCACCAAACCTACAGAGAGTCATTGTCTCAAAATAAATAAATAAATAAAAATAAAAAAAATGTTGCACTGGACAGTGGTGGCACATGCCTTTAATCCCAGCACTCGGGAGGCAGAGATAGTGGATTCTCAAGTTCGAGGTCAGCCTGGTCCTCAGAGTGAGTTCTAGGATAGCCAGGGCTATCCTGAGAAACCCTGTTTTGAAAACACACAAAAGAATTTTTTGCTCTCTTAAGAGAGACAAATGCTGTAAAGAGTCATAACTGCGGCAAGTATTTGGGTTCTGCTTTATATCTATAGTAATGTACTTTCTTCCCCCTTAGCTTGCCAAGAAATATCACCCGGACTCAAACAAGGATGATCCCAAAGCCAAGGAAAAGTTTACCCAAGTGGCACGAGCATACGAGGTAAGAACTTGCCGTGTCATCTGGTTCAGTCTGTCCCTGCTGAAGTCTTATGCTAGTTCTGCTGAATTAGAATCTCAGTGAAGAAACAAGGTTGGTGAGATGGGTCAGTGGGTATATGGATCTGCTGCTAAATCTGATGACCTGAGTTCAATCTCCAGTACCCATATAGTGGACAGAGAGAAGCATCTTTCACAGATTGTCTCTGACCTCCACCTGAGTGCCATGACATTCAAATACTCACACATGTACACAAAATAAATAGATATAATTTTTTTTAAAAAAAGGAGAGATCAGGAGTGGTGGTAAATCTGTAATTCTAGCAGTGGTGAGACTGAGGCAGGAGAATTTCCGCAAGTTTAAGGGCAGCCAGGGCTACACAGCCCATCTCAATACAAAACCAGGAACAGAGTTCGTCTGTATCAGTAAAGCTCCTTGGGTAATTCATATTGATAGCTGATCTTGAGACATCCCAGTCAGACCTAGCCGTTATTTGGTAGCAATTTTAAAAGTAGAATATCATATAAAAATACAGAAAAACATGTCTGTGAAAGAGCCACTGACCAATTACGGAGTTATTGGAGAATGGCCATTTGTTTTAGTTAGGGTTTTATTACTCCCTGTGACCCTATGAGGCCACTTTCATTCTGGCCACCACACCATTCCTCTTGGACTTGATTGACTCTAGGGGGTTCTGCATATGTCAAGAGTTTCTATGTTCAAGGAACTAGTAGATGTCCACTTATAAAAAGAGTCACAACTCAGGTATGAAGGTTTTATCCCCTGCTAATCTGTGCTAGAGCCTTCTACAGAAGTAGAACTAATAGGATATATGTAATTATAAAAGATTTATTAAATTAGCTTTTTAGATCAGCTGCAGGGGGGCAGAGTGCTGTGGAGATGACTCGTTAGTTAAGAGCATTGGCAGCTCTTCTAGAGGACTCAGGTTCAATCCTAGCACCCACATGGCAGCTCACAACCACCTACAACACTCCAAGGTTTTTGCTTGCTCTCTCTCTCTCTCTCTCTCTCTCTCTCTTTCTATTATTTTTTTTGGTTTTTCGAGATGGGTTTCATTGTAGCTTGGGAGCCTGGAACTAGCTCTTGTAGACCAGGCTGGCCTCGAACTCACAGAGATCCACCTGCCTCTGCCTCCCAAGTGCTGGGATTAGAAGTGTGTGCCATCACACCTTATAATTTTAGTTTTAAGAGATCCAATGCCCTCTGCTGACTTCTGAGAGCATCAGGCACACAAGTGGTATGTAGACATACATGTAGACAAAGTACCCATACCCATAAAATAAAATATAAATTATTATTACGTTTTTCAAGACAGGGTTTTGTTGTTGTTGGGCTTTTGTTTGTTTGTTTGTTTTATTCTTTGGGGGCCCACCACCCAGCTCCCAAATAAAATAAATACACCGAGACTTATTCTTGCTTATGAAAGCCTGGCGTTAGCCAGTTTCTAGCCAGTTTTTCTAACTTAAAGTAACCTGTTTCTCTTCTGTATTTTGCCTCTGGGCTATTTACCTTTCTTTATTTCTATATATGTCTTTCTTCCCTTCTTACTCCATGACTGGTTGTGTGGCTGGGTGACCAGCCCCTGATCCCTGATGTCCTCCTCTTCTCTTCTCTACCCCAGCCTGGATTTTTCTCCTATTTATTCTTTCTGCCTGGTAGACCTGCCTATTTCTTTCTTCTGCCTTGCTATTGGCCATTCAGGTCTTTATTAATCAGGTGTTTTAGGCAGGCAAAGTAGCATAGCTTCACAGAGTTAAACGAAATCGTCATTAAACAAATATTCCATAGAATAATCAAATGTAGCATGTCTTAAGCTAATATTCCACAGCAGGTTTTCTCTGTGTAACTGCCCTGGCTGTCCTGGAACTCACTCTGTAGACAGGCTGACCTTGAACTCAGAGAAATCTGCCTGCCTCTGCTTCCTGAGTGCTGGGCTTAAAGACATGAGTCTTCATGCCAGGCTCATAAAAATTATTTGTAAAAAAGATCATCTGCTGAGGAGTACCACATTGACAACCTGTAGGTTGTAACATCAGAGAAACTGGTGGCTGCTCCGTGTAAGAAGCTGGAAGCCTTTGAATGGGAGGCCAGTGATAGCAGCCTGGTCTGGGGCTGCAAGCCTGAATAGCTGTCCTGGAACTAGCTCTTATAGACCAAGCTGGCCTCGAAGTCACGGAGATCCACCTGCCTCTGCCTCTTGGGTGCTGGGATTAAAGGCATACACCACCACTACTCAACTAATTTTTACATTTTTTTTTTATTTTCCTGTTTTCATTGCCCTGAGGACTGAACCCAGGGCTGTATGCATGCTTAACAAATGCCGCACCACTGAGGTCCAATGTGATTTTGTTTTTTGTTGAAACAGGGTATCACTGTGCAACCCAGACTATCTTCAAGCTCATCTCCTTGCTTTAACCTTCTGATTGGTGGGATTACAGGCATTCGCCACTCACAATGCCTGGCTTTTGTAGAATGTTTTGCACATAAGACTACTTAGTAAGGGGGCTGGAGAGAGGACTCAGCAGTTAAGAGCACTGACTGTTCTTCCAGAGGCCCTGATGGTGGCTCACAACCATCTGTTATGAGATCTGGTGCCGTCTTACGGTGTTCAGTCATGCATGCAGGCAGAATGTTATAAACATAATAAATAAATTAATTAAAAAAAAAAAGACCACTTAGTAAATGTGATAGACTTATGTGGCGTGAGCTGTTGTCTATGTCCCTGAGCCTTAGAAGACCCAGAAATGCCTGATTGCTGTGTCATCTTTCACTGTAGGTGTTGTCTGATGAAGCAGAGAGGAAGCGTTATGATACTTATGGCTCTGCTGGCTTTGATCCTGGAGCCAGCAGCTCTGGGCAGAGCCAGTGGAGAGGAGGGCCCTCTGTTGACCCGGAAGAGCTATTCAGGAAGATCTTTGGGGAGTTCTCATCATCTTCTTTTGGAGATTTCCAGACTGTGTTCGATCAGCCTCAGGAAGTAAGTTCTTTCTTTATTTTTAAATTTATTTTTGTGTTTTTGAGAAAGGGTCTCACATCGTAGCCCTGGCTGTCCTGGAACTCACTATGACCAGGTTGACCTCGAACTCACAGAAATCTGCCTGCCTCTGCCTCCCAAGTGCTGGGATTAAAAGACGTGTGCCATTGTGTACAGTGTGCCTTATTTTAAATGATTAACTTTTAAGCAAAAGTGAGACAGTGTTTAGTTTCTGTTTCTCAGAAAGGCAATGGAATGATCCAGAGGCAGCCATTTGGCAGAAGAAATTTAGGAATATTTGGAAAAACCCTGTAGGTAGTAATGAAGGTGTACGTTGTGATGTTATTAACAGTCAGGTGGCATTGAAGGCCCTCAGAATCATGGCAGAATGATTTTATCTAGAGCAGCGCTCTCCACCTGTGGGGCTGCCTGTCAGATATAGATCATGATTCATAACAGTAGCAAACTTACAGTCACGAGGTGGCAATGAAATAATTGTATGGTTGGAGTCTCCACAGCATGAGGAACTGTTCTAAAGGGTCACAGCATGAGGAAGGTTGAGATTTGAATGAAGGGTCTGTTGGTCCCACTGTTTCAGGGCCTGGGTAAGGCCTTATATAATGGCGGGGAGTGTGGGAAAGCTGGGCTGCTCACCTGATCCTGATTGTGAAGGGAAGGAGTGCAGACCGGCACCCAAATCCTCTTTGATGACACATCTCCAGTGACATAAAATCTCACCAGGCCACACCTCTTCAAGGTCCACTGCCTTCCAGACACTGTACTAAGATGAAAACCAAGCCTTGGCCCTTGGGAGATACTCTAGATTTAGGCCAAAGCAAACGCCACATGCAGATATTAGTCCTGTGTTCAGCTCTTGAAGAATTAATTTTCACTTAATACATTTTAAAATCCGTATGTGTAAAGCTGGGTCAGCTAAGTGAACAGCACCTATTTTTTTTTCAAGATAGGATTTCTCTGTAGCCTTGGAGCCTGTCCTGAAACTCGCCTTGAACTCAGAGAGATCTGTCTGCCTCTGCCTCCCGAGTGCTGGGGTTAAATGCATGTGCCCCACCATCACCCGGCAATAGCACCTATTCTTACTGACCTGGTAGAGTATACATGTGCATGTGTTTGGTAGTTATGGAGTACCTACAGGTACTGGCCAGGGTCCTCCTGTCCTGAAACAGCAGAGTGACAGGCCATACCTTTCAGTACATCATGGAATTGACCTTCAATCAAGCTGCCAAGGGCGTCAACAAGGAGTTCACTGTGGACATCACGGACACCTGTGAGCGCTGTGACGGCAAGGGGAATGAGCCTGGAACCAAAGTGCAGCATTGCCACTACTGCGGAGGCTCCGGCATGGTAAGGGTACGGGGCCGCTCCCCCACTCCTCCTGGAAATGTTTCCCTGTTACCTGCCTATGCTGCTCCAACCATTCCTTTCTCTGTTCTAGGACGTCCTTTATTTAGATTTCTGGGGCTGGGCTTGGGCTAGGTGCTAACTGAGGATGATCTTGAACCTGTAATCTTTTCTCCACCTTCCAAGTGCTAGTATTCCTCCCTGTCAGAGGGCAGGGTCTTCCTCTTTAAGCCAGGCAGACTTCTAGCTTCAGGCTCTGGAGTGCTGGAATTTATAAGCACGTGTCATCATGTCGGGTTATAGTTTTTAGAAATCTTTTTTTATTACATTTATTTGTTTATTGTGTGTGCATGTGTGCTATGGTCTATATGTAGCATTCAAACAACAACTTGAGGAAGTCAGTTCTCTTATCATGTGGGACCCAGTGTTTGAACTCAAGTCGTTAGGCTTGGTATAGCAAGCGCTTTTACCTGCTGAGCCGTCTTGTCTGTCCATTTTATATATGTGGGCTTTTTCTGTTGTCATTGTTGTTGTTTTTCAAGACAGGGTTTCTCTGTATATCCCTGGCTGTCCTGTAACTCTCTCACAGATCTGCCAGCCTCTACCTTTGAGCACTGGGATTAAAGGTGTATGCCACCACTGCCCAACATTTTATTTTATTTAATGAGACAGGGTCTCGATATGTAGTTCTGATGATCAGAAACCTGTTATATAGACCAGACTAGCTTCAAATTCAGAATTTTTTTTCTCTACCATGTACAGGCATTCCATATTTAGAGTTCTTGGGATTGTTTCTAATTGGTGAACATGTTCTTAGTATACACCAAGCCATGAATTCATATATTGTTTTGTTTGAGATAGGATTTAACTCTAATTTAGGGTGGCTTGGAACTGAATATAGACCTCATGCTGACTTTGAACATGAGGCAATCTTCATTTTCCAGCCTCGTTAGTGCTATGAGAACAAATGTGAGTCATCATGCTCAGCTAAAGCCTTGAATTCAACCCCAGGTGGTTGTGAGTCACCGTGTATACATGGGAGATGGTGCAGAGAAAGCCAGTCAGTGATATGTCTGAGGCTGGAGAGCTGGCTCAGAGCTTAAGAGCTTTGAGAACTCTGCTCTTCCAGAGGTCCTGAGTTCAATTCCCAGCAGCTACATCTTTAATTAAAAATTTTTTTTTGACTTTAGAACTGGGTGTGATAGTATATACCTGTACTCCCAGCACTTGGAAGGTGGAGTCAGAAGTTCAAGCTTATCCTCCACTACATAGCAAGTTTGGGTCTAGCCCTCTTCCTCAAAAAAAAAAAAAAAAAAAAAAAGTTCAAATTAGCAGTGTGAGGCACCTATAGCTGTTTCCTTAGGCAGTGTGTTTTATGGTAGCACATGCACACATGAAGTCCATCCTTGGGGCTGGAGAGATGGCTCAGCGGTTAAGAGCACTGGCTGCTCTTCCAGAGGGCCTGGGTTCAATTCCCAGCACCCTCATAGCAGCTCACAACATGTATATGATGTATTTTATTCTTATCCACCCTCCTTATTGTGAGTTGGGGGTGGGCAGAGTCTCCTGTAACCCAGGTTGGCCTTGATCCCCTAATTTACTGCCTTTACCCCTGCCCCATATGTTGGGATCATAGAACTGTGTCACTTAACCTGAAGATAAACCCTCAATAAAACACTTTTTCATAAAACAATGCACCCTCATACTCAGCATTTCCCTTCTTTTCCTCAGGAAACTATCAATACAGGCCCTTTTGTGATGCGTTCCACATGTCGGAGATGTAGTGGCCGGGGCTCCATCATCACAAATCCTTGTGTGGTCTGCAGAGGAGCAGGACAAGCCAAGCAGAAGAAGCGAGTGACGATCCCTGTGCCTGCAGGTGGGCCACTGCCCGGGAGATGGGCCAGCTCTGTTGTGCCTTGTTGTCTGCATGATTGCAGAGCTAGACCTAGGGCCTGGGTCCCAGGATGGAGGAGGAACTAGAATCTGTTACAGTCTTCCTTTAGACCAGTCATCCTTACAGTACGCCCACTCTGCTCCCACCTTGGGATGCTGCAGCTCCTGTTCCGGTTTTCTGTCCTGTCTCTTCTGTCTTCGTGCAGTGAGGACTGGCCTTAACAGGAGACCAGCTAGTTATGTCGTGACAGCTGCTAATTCCAGGAGGAGACTCCATCTCCAAAATAAGACAAGAAACCTGGTCAAGTGGGTTTCCTGGGTAGACATCACTGTGCGAGGCCCCTACCACAACTGCTATTTGGGACTTTTGTTTTCCTAGGAGTTGAAGATGGTCAGACCATAAGGATGCCTGTGGGAAAACGAGAAATTTTTGTCACATTCAGGGTAGGTGCTTGCCTGTCACTTTCTCTGGGTCCTTGTTCTGTCAGTGGATACGGCTGAGGTTCCTCATTGTAGTGAGGCAGACAGTTCATGTGCCAAGGTGTCACTGTTCCAAATTCAAGAAAGGCTGCTGGGGAGTGGCTCTTGTTTTCATGTCTGGATGCAGAGAAACTTCCTCACACCAACAAGTTAGAAACATAGCCAGGTGTGGTGGTGGTGCATGCCTTTAATCCCATCCCAGCACGCAGGAGACAGAGGCAGGCAGATCTCTGAGTTAGTTCCAGGACAGGCTCTAAAGCTACAGAGAAACCCTGTCTCAAAAAAACAAAACAAACAAACAAACAAACAAAAGAACATTATCAATCTTCAGAAGGAAAGAACCACGGGTACTTGAGGGGAGGAAAGCAGATTGTTACAAGCTGTAAAGTACAAGGCCTGGGGTTTGGTCATCAACACTGTATAAAACTGGCAATGGTGTTACCTGTAATCCCAGTACTTGGGAAGTAGAAGCTGGAGGATCTGAAATTCAAAGTCATCCTCGACCTCAGAGAATTGAAGCCAGCCTGGTTTGATGATCATGTCTCAAAAAACGTCCCATCTCCTCCAAATAATAAAAATAAACCCATTGGCAAAGCTGGGTATGGTGATCCTTCCCTGGAGTCTCACTACGTGCAAGGCTGAGGCCTAGGTTTACATAAGTCCATGAATTTGGAATCTATGTATAGTGAGATCGCCTCTCAAACCAAAGATAGCACAGTATATAAAAATAGCTTGAAGAGTGAGTCCTCTTGACTAAGACGTCGAAGATGAAGGTAGGTGCTGGGCTGTCGTTTAGTGGTGGTGTGCCTGTGTGTGCAAGGCCATGTATTCTGTCTCCAGCACCACAAAGATAAACAGGTAATTAAGATTCCTCTCCCCTTATTTTCTGAGACAGTTTCTTGCTGAAGATGGAGTTCATTGATTCATCCAGGCTTTCTAGCTAGTGAGCTCAAGAGATCCACCTGCACACGAGCGGGCACACACACAGAGCAGCGACTGGGCTCACAAATGTCTACTACCATGGCCTAGCTTTTCCTGCTTGTTTGGTTGGTTGAAGTTTTTTTTGTTTGTTTTTTCAAGACAGGGTTTCTCTGTGAAACTGTCCTGGAACTCACTCTGTAGACCAGGCTGGCCTTGAACTCACAGAGATCCTCCTGCTTCTGTCTCCCCCCCCCCTCAGTGCTGTGATTAAAGGCGTGCGTCACCACCACTTGGCCAATGCTCAGCTTTTACATGAGTGTTATGGATCCTCATACTTGTGTGGCTGGCACTTCCCTAGCCCCTGTAAATCATTTTTATCTTTGTAGATGTATTGGTCTGTGTTTAATCATCTTTCTAATTAGATAAGATTTAGGGGAAAATTAGAATGCCAAATTGCATTCTTATTTACTTTTATAATTGAAAGGCTGTGATGGAGGCTGAGTGACAGTGCCCTGCTGTGCAGTATGCATGGAGGATGTGTCCCTCCAGAGCCCTGGGGTGCTTCTCCCACTGCTCAGGTTTGGTCTCCCTGTGCTATCTTATTTAAGTGCATAGGGGCCCCAAGCTCAGGTCAGCAGGACACATGGCTGCTGTCCAGCCTCACGCAGCACTTCCACAGTGCTCACACTTGTCTTCTCTTTGGCATTAGGTGCAGAAAAGCCCTGTGTTCCGGAGGGACGGCGCAGACATCCACTCCGACCTCTTTATTTCAATAGCTCAAGCTATTCTTGGGGGTACAGCCAAAGCGCAGGGCTTATATGAGACAATCAATGTGACGGTAAGAGGTCTTTGCACCCTGGCACCTTGTCAGTCTTCCTTCCTCTCTCTTTCTTTTCTTTTTGAGACTGATGCTTTTTGTGTATGTACCCTAAGCTGATCTTGAATCCAGATGCCTTCCCCTTCCATGTGCTGTGATTACATGTCTGTGCCACCATGCCCAGTTAGTCTTTTCTAAAATGGGAAAAAGCTGAGGTGGTCCCAAACCTGAGTGTCCAGCCTGTTACGGATTCTAAGAGAAGAAGAGACACTGGAGCCTGTGACACTAACAGCTTTAGGCTGTTCCTTGAGTAGTAATTACCACTCTAGGCCTTTCTGTTTACTGTTGGCAACGGTTCTTTGTCTGTCTCCTCTTCCTCTGTTACTACAACCGCAGCAAGTGCTCTTTGTTCACATCCCTCCTCTGGTCTGTGGGGGCGGGTGTCTTACTCTCTTGAGCACCTCTAGGTTTTTTGGGTTGTTGTTTTGTTTTTTAAAGATTTACTTATTTTTTATGTGCATTGATGTTTTGCCTGCATGTATGTCTGTGTGAAGATGGCAGATCCCCTGGGACTGGAGTTGCAGATAGTTGTGAACTGCCATGTGGGTGCTGGGAATTGAACCTGGGTCCTCTGGAAGAGCAGCCAGTGCTCTTAACCACTGAGCCTTATCTCCAGCTTCCAGACCACCTCTAGTTTTAATTGCAGCTGTAGTGGCCAGCTTCCTGTTCCCACCCTAATACCATTATACTTATATATTTATATATCAGGGCTTTCTTCAGACTCTGGGTACGGAGACTTTGGGCATGCCTTAGGCCATGCCTGTGGTCACTGTGGGCTCTCCACCAGGCTCGTTGATGTGCAGCCCCCAGAGTAAGGGAGCAAGCTCAGGCTCATACTTGCTTTCAGCTGTTTGCTCCCAAGTCTTTTTGCTTCACTCCTCACATCTGTTTTGTGGACTCAGCTGTCCACAAATGTGGCTAGATTTTTCTGACCACCCAGTGCAAATCCTTCTTTGAAGATGCTTTTCTCTGTATAGTGAAATGCTTTATTTTTGGATAGTGGGGACCAGGGAACATCAATGCATTCCTTTTTCAATAGATCCCTGCTGGGATTCAGACAGACCAGAAGATTCGCTTGTCTGGGAAAGGCATCCCCCGGATTAATAGCTATGGCTATGGAGACCACTACATTCACATCAAGATCAGAGTTCCGAAGTAAGTGTCCACTAAGACTGTGGCCAAGATGGCCAGACTCCGCACACACAGACACAGTGAGCAAGTACCCTTCTAGCCTTTTACCTGCCACACACAGCATCCAGCACACAGCAGTTTTGCTGCCCTTTGAGCTCTTGTCTTGCGCAGGTTTTTTTCTTCCTTAAAGTCAGTTTTGTCCAGCCTATATTTCCCATCTGAACAGTGGATCTAGCAGGTTGGCTTCATTGTGTTGGGGAAGTGTCAACTACACAGGTGCTAAACTCCTGATGTGTGCTGGACAGAGTGCTGTGGCACTCAGCATGTGCTGTGCTCTGCTCCTCCACCTGGGAAACCAGTTCCAGCTGTTGTGCCTTTTGTGAGGTTATTTTCTTCTCTTTTCTTCCTTTTTTTGGTGGAGAGGGGGAAGGCATTGAGACAGGATTTCTCTGTAGCTTTGGTGCCTGTCCTGGAACTCGTTCTGTAGACCAGGCTGGCCTCGAACTCACAGAGATCCACCTGCCTCTGCCTCATGAGTGCTGGGATTAAAAGTGTGTGCCACCACTGCCTGGCATGAGATTACTTTCTTACCTGCTGCCCATAGACACACATACAGCACGGACACCCCATCCTCACCCCTGTACGTGGCTAGCATAACAGTGATGACAGTTGAAACAACTCAAAGTTGTAGAGAGATGTGGCCCTCAGTCCCTCTCACCACTAGCTTGGTGTGTACCCCGCCTGAGCAAGAAACTTAGCTGCATTGTGTCCTTTCCAGAGCTGTGTGGCGTAAGTGCTTGGCTTCTAACTGTTACTGGTCCACAGGAGGCTAACCCGTAGGCAGCAGAACCTGATCCTGAGCTATGCCGAGGATGAGACTGATGTGGAGGGGACAGTAAATGGGGTCACTCAGACAAGTACTGGTAAGGATCCTGGGAATAATGGGGTGACATAAGGGACCTCCGAATCTCTGAAGGGTTGACAGACAATTCACAACACATTTGATTTCTACTTGAGTTCCCACAGGCCCCCAAAAGTATCATTGGAAGAGGTGACCCGTGGGAGTGAGACCGTACCCCAATGAGCTTCTGTCTTTCACTGCATGCGTGTGCTTAGAAACCACAGGACTGCCTCCTGCCCACAGCTCTATCTCAGAGCTGCTGTTCTGAGTTCTAGCCTTGGTTCTGCCATCTGCCTTGTGACTTTGGGCACTTCCCTCCAAGAGTTCTTTGTAACAGCTTAAGAGGGAAATCAGTTGGACAGATCTGTGCCTTCCTGACCTCAAATGCTTTACCAGGATTCCAAAGTAAACTGTTAAAAGCTATCAAGGACACGGGATAGCTTTGATCTCCTGAGTCAGTGAACGTGTTACCCAAGGTCAGATGTCATGCTCTGAGAACACGAGTGGCTCATGTCTGGGCTGGAGCTTTGCTGTCCCCGTAGCTGAGGCCTCTGTTGGTCAGCAGGTTGGGACAGGCTGTGCCCAGGCTGCACATGTTTCTGCCTCATTGCATCATTTTGTTTTGTGGGAACCTGGATGGAGTTCTCCGGTCTAGAATGGCTTTAGATTTGTGTGTTTAGAGCTGGGCAGTTTTTGCAGTGAGTACAGGGAGGATGAGTTCTCTGAAAGAGATGATAGTGGACGTGGAAATCCCAGCAGACTGTGTCTATAGCTTAACCAAACACCAAGTGCTTTAATGTTTAACCCACTTGCAGTACTGCACTGCATGTTAGCACCACTTCTAGGCCACTTCACCAATAGTCAGTTTTTCCTAGACTCAACCTCTTATTTCAGACAGTTAGCAAAATTACAGGGTTTTGTTTGTTTGCTTTTGATTTGGACTTTTGTTCAGCTGATTGTTTTATTTGGGTTTTGTCTATAAGTCAGCCTTGCTCTCTGTGTTGCCGAGACTGGTCTGGAATTCAAGACCCTTCTGCCTGAGTTATGGGGAAACTGGAATTTTACTAGAAATGTTTTGCATTCCCTAGCCTTCCTCCTGTATTACTTTCCTGCTGGAAGCATCACTGGGAGCACTGAGTGGTTCTCTTTAACCTTGAACAGACTTCCTTGGAGCAGTCAATTTCCTGCTTACACTCAAGTACAGTGTGTCCTAGACTTACTTAAAACAGGTTTAGATCCAGTTGTGTGACACAAATTTAGAATCCTGGTTCTCAGGGAGGGAGGCTAAGGCAAAAGAATTGGGAGTTCGAGACCACCCTGCCTCAAAAGAAGTAGCAACAGCAGCCTTGGAAGCCAAGGGCTCATATTCACAGCCTGGTACCTAGGGTACATCCTACCTCCTCCTCCCCAAGCTAGCCCTCAGAAAGCAGAGTCTGAGAGGAAATGCTACCTTCATAGAGCTGCTTACTTTTGTTTAGCCCTCAGAACTGGTCACCAACATATGATTCAGAATTTCAAAGTGTTTGTGCTGGGGATAGTTGGACGGGAGGGAGGGGGTGAATATGATCAAGGTACATTGTTTTCATGCATGAAATAATAAATTAAGCCTGGTAGTAGTGATGCCCACCTTTAATCCCAGCACTCGGGAGGCAGAGGCAGGAGGATCTCTGATTTTGAGGCCAGCCTGGTCTACAGAGTGAGTTCTAGGACAGCAAGGACTACATGAAGGAACCGTGTTTTGGCGGGGGGAAGAAGAGGAATAGAACTGGGGGAGAAGGGGGTGACAGTGAGGCATTTTTTTGCCCCACTCAGAGGCTAGGTTTAGTGGTCAGATGGTTCTTGGTCCTGCTTTGTCGCGGTTAGCTGTGAAGCCTTAGACAGTCACCTTTTTAAGTTGAGAGAAACAGTAGCACTAATTATCTGAGCAGTTCAGAGATAAAGCAGTAGAGTTAAGAGTTCAGGATCATCCTCCACTATGTAATGAGTTCTAGGCAGGCCTGGGCTACGTGAGACTTGTCTCAAAAAACCAAAAATATATAGGGCTTCTAAGCAGTTTGGTGAGGCCAAGTGGCAAAGCCAGTAGTGTGGCATGTATTAGAAGTGCCATAAGAGGTCATCTACAGTGTTGACACACTACCTGGGCCATGCTTTACCAAAGACATGGAATGGAAAACTCGTTGCACGTTTTGTCTTAGGAGACTCAGGAGGGATGGGAAGCCCATGGTTTATAGAGCTGTTGTGTTAAGAGTCATTTATGTTACTTACACCTTTCTGTAGTAGAAAAGGGAATGCTCAGAATTGAAGCAGGGCACACCTGGGCTCTGGACCTCAAGTCAGAAAGTGCACAGTGTGCTGTGCAGGGCCTAGATTCTGTGCAAAGCTAGAGCTCAGATATGTTCCTACTCGTTTTGTTGATTACCCAGATTTTTTTGTTTGTCTTTGTTTTTTTTTTTTTTTTGACATAATTTCTCCATGTAATAACCCAGGCTGTCTTGGAACTCACTGTGTAGATCAGGCTGGCCTCAAATTGAGAGAGATCCACCTGCCTCCTCCTCCTGAGTGCTAGAATTAAAGGCATATGCCACATCCACCCAGCTACCCAGATTTCAACCATTTTTTTAAAGATTAATTTTTTGCGTGCTTTAAAAAATTTATTAGGAATACAGTGTTTTGCCTCCTCCGTGCTACCTGCAGGCCAGAAGAGGGCACCAGTTCTCATTATAGACGGTTGTGAGCCACCATGTAGTTGCTGGGAATTGAACTCAAGACATCTGGAAGAGCAGCCAGTGCTCTTAACCTCTGAGCCATCTCTCCAGCCCCTTACATGTATTTTTTGTTCGGTTGGTTTGTCTCAGAACACCATTCCTTTTCAAAGGGCACACACGGGTCCGTCAGCGTGAGCTGTGGTCCTGCTGTTTATGTTGTGTGAGCAAATGTCTCCTCATCCCAGGTAGGGAACCAACGACAGACGAAAGCATTTATGCCCGTGTCTAGCTTGGGGACTCATGAATTTTTAAGGTTTACTTGCAGACATGAGTGAGGGGCTGCTTACAGGAATGTTGGTAACCCCCCAAAGAATCACACTGCAGAAAAGTCCTGCACATGGATGGCGACGTAATGGAAGCAGCGTCATGGAGTTCCCCTTTCAGTTAACCTTCCCGAGAACACATACTGTGGAGTAGAATTACATGCAGTCAGCAGGAGGTACGTGAGGGAGTGAGGAGGGTCTCATGACCCTCTCCCTAATCCATCTTTCAAGATTATTAAAGTCCTAGCTACTATGACAGTGGCTGTTGTGTTATAGGACAAGTGTTCCACAAAACTACAGACCCCACCCTACCCTTGTTCCCAGATTTGTGCCTCTGAGCTTTGGATACCTCCCGCTAAAGAGCCTCACTTGACTCAAACCTGCTAACTGTTGGAAGCTGGGGCTATTTTATTTTTACTTTTATAAATAAGGCCTCACTTTATAGCCTCGGCTAGACTCAAACCCAAATAAATTTGCTTGTTTTTACCTCTTAAATATTGGGATTAAAAGTATATACAACTAGGGCTGGAGAGATGACTCAGAGGTTAAGAGCATTGGCTGCTCTTCCAGGGGTCCTTAGTTCAATTCCCAGCAACCACATGTTAGCTCACAACCATTTATAGTGACATCTGATGCTCTCTTCTGGTGTGTAGGCATACATGCAAGCAGAACACTCTATACATAATAAATAAATCTTTAAAAAATGTATATACAACCACACCAGGTTCTTTTAATTGGTTGTACACTATACAGGCAACATGTATCAGCAACATTAAAAACATGTGCCGTAAGACTTTGGAGATGGCTCAGCAGGTAAGCCTGCTTGCTGCCAACCCTGACAGCCTGGGTTTGATCCCTGGAGCCCACTTGGTAGAAAGACAGAACTGACCCTCACAAGTTGTCCTCTGATCGCCGTACATACTCTTGCATGCAGCTGTATTTGCACCCCCACTCACATACATATACACACACAATTTTAATAAATGTGGAAATTATCAGGCATGGTTGCTCACACCTATAATTAGGAGTAGTGGAGCAGAAGGCCTAATAGTTCAAAGCCAGTCTGGGCTACAAAATGAGTCGAAGGCCAGCTTGGGCTATGACACCTTGTCACACGTAAAGAATAGTCAAAGCACACAAAATGTTATAGGTGTATAGCTTAACTCATAGCCAAGGTTTGCCTCCGTCTTTCAAGGTTGGCAAGTTTCTTGTGCAGAGCTGGGTAACCTCAGTCTTTGCCCTAAAAACCATCCAGCCAGCTGTGCATTATCTGCAGCAGTGGGGGTAGATGTCAGAGTAATATACACCTCACTGGCATTGAGAGAGACAAGGCAGGGTACAGCAGAGGATTCTGTGTAAGAGTCGCTTCCTCTTTGGTTATCTTGGGCATGTCAGTATGTACAACATAGACAGTGTGTAATGTACAGTGGGTTCAGAAATTGGATTTTTTTTTTTTAGCTTCATTGATTATCTTGTAGCCAGTAGGTTGGTGGGCTAGGTTTGAGCTTAGTTCTACTTCCTGCTGTCTGGCTCTGGGACTCTAGGTGGACCTGACAACATTGTTTCTGTGTACACATCAAGTATGTGAAGGTGATGAGCTACCTGTGTGACTTGGCCCCAGTTTGCCTTTGTTGTTATTGTTCAGGTTGCAGACAGTGCCTCTCCCTCCCATTTTTCTTGTTTCCCTCCTATGGTTTGACTTCAGGAAGAGCTGTGATGTCCTGAGTGTCCATTTGCTCAGGCTAACACCCGAGGTCCCCCTGCCAGCCTGAGAGTGGCTGTTGGCTACTCCTTGATGCCAGCCCTGGAGCAGCTAGACATGGGTAGGCGGGGCAGGCATTTGCTGTAAGGAGGTGTGTGGTCTTGACCTTGGTTCTTTTTGCTGTTTGTGCCCAGGTGGCAGAACCATGGATAGCTCCGCAGGAAGCAAGGATAGGCGAGAGGCTGGGGAGGACAATGAGGGATTCCTTTCCAAACTTAAGAAAATGTTTACTTCCTGATACCCCTGCTGAGGTAGGAAAACCTGTGAGCGGTCTTCCTTGTTTTCCTGTGAACTAATCTCTCTTCTGGTCACTTTAATCAACATCAAACCCCACCCCACCCTACCCTACCCCGAAAGTCAGAAGCAGTGCCAATCAAAAGTGTAGCAAATATGGTGTCCTCTAAGTCCTTAGAGCAGATCAGGATAAAGCAGGCTGCAGTGGTCAACATCTTCATTCAGATTCAATTTAGATTCCTTCCTCGATGGGTTGAATTTCCCAGGGGCTCTGTCCTTCCATGGCAGGACCAGCTTGCCCACAGTACAGAAGGCAAATTGTGGCGGAGCCAAGCCTAAAACTCAGATCTCCTCCACCTGACCTGCTTTTTAGCACCCTGTTGTATCCAGTCAGCGTGGCACTGTGCAGGTCCGGGGCTGCTGGGTCGCGCTTGTGTTCTGTGCCTGGAGACAGTTTGTGCTCACCCCAGGTCCTGGGGCTCTTGACCCCCAAACACAGCCATTCTCCAGGGGTTAACAGAGCCTCTCTCACACGGATGAGTTCTGAGGTGTGGAGTATAACTGTTTGTCTCCTTGGCTCAGGAAAGCGGTCTACTGGAAGCTAGGCCAGGAGCAGCAGCCCCTCTCCACGGCCAGGGCATCCGACACAGGAGGACCCCAGAACAGCAGCTCGGGGGATTCCTGCTTACAGAGCCCTCTGAACCACCTAGTAACAGCAAAACTACGTGATGACACCTCTGCATAAAGGTCATGGTGACAGCCCCTACGCAGTGATGTGTGGCCTTTGGGCTGGTAGAAATATCCTCTCCACTGGTAGGTGGCTTGCTTCTGGCCCAGACAGGGTAAAACACTTGGACTCTTCTTGCAGCAGTAAAAACATGGAATCGCATGTAGTAGAGAGCTTAACAAATTAAAGGCCGTGCTTACAGCTTAAAATGAAGCCTTAAGCTGCACAGCGTTGTGAAGTGATTAATTTCCCTTTCAACAAAGCTCATGGAGGCTCTGAAATACATCTTCCCGACAGGCTGTCCTCTAGGACCTAGGGGCAGCATACCCCGGCCAGTGCCATCCTCCCTGACAGGGTCTGTTGAGGTGTCTGTCACTCCCCTTGGAGTTTGTTTGCTTTTGTTTTATTGAAGGTACCAAGCTGCTGGAGAGTGGGTGCTAGGGCCCTGGAGGCACTCTTGGGCAACTCAGTCACTCTCTCCACTTCACCTCAGAAGCAGCTTGCCTGACAACTGATTAGATTGCTCTAGTCAGGTGTGGAAGATGTGTCCTACCCTGCTGGACCAAAGTTACTGGTCATGTGGGACAGCCGCCAGCCTCTGGACCCAGCGCTTTGCCAACCAGGGCTTGGTTTTCCCCCCTTCCATTGCTGACATTTGATTTCCAAAGTATATTTAAATTACCCAATGACAAGAATCATTGTCTTTTCCTGTGTCAATGTCAGGAGGGAAAGCGCAGTGTCCTGGGTGAGGACTGCACCATCACAGAGCGGTCTCATTTCCAGTCTTTGCTGGAAGCATGTTACGGTTTCCGTGTGTTCCAAGGTCCTGGAGCTAGTGAAAGACACACTAATGAAGAACACTTGCTCTGTAGTTTCTTTTCCTTTATAATTTACATAAGTAAAGCATTTCTTAGTGTTTGATTTAAGAATGTAAAGTGATTTCTGTATCAGTGTAAATAAGATGATCTACTACAAAACATATTTAAAACCAAAATTGTGCTCATTTCTTCTTTGAGAGTTCAAACTAGCAGCTGCAGGTGGCTCAGCAGAGGCAACAGGAGAGTCAGCTGGCAGCATCTGCTAGTTCAGATTTCTCTTCCTGCCAGCAAGGTGGACCTAGTGTACTGACATTGCCGATCACCTACCCCCATTTCCAGAACAAGCCCTTGCCAGAAGACAGTGTTCCTCTGCGAGCAAACTCTTGAACCTGGTAGATTGGAGAGTCCCGCTGAGAAATGTGCGCGTGCTCACTGTGTCCTTTGTTGATTGTTCTAGTTTTCAGACTTTGTTTTCTGTGTGGCCCAGGCTGGAACTCCTTTTCTAAAGGTAGTATCTGGTATTGAACCCAGGACCTCAGGCATGCTGGGCAAGTGGTCTACTATTGATCTGTGTCCTCAGCTGCATTTTCCTATATTCCATTTTAAAAACCATGTGTGGGGGTGTTTTGTCCACATATTTCTATGCACCACTTGCACGCAGTGCTTACAGAGACCAGAAGAGGACATTGCATCTTCTGGAACTGAAATCACAACGGGTTTATTGGCTACTGTGTGGGTGCTAGGAACCAGACCCGGGTCCTCTGCAAGAGCAGCAAATGCTCTTAACTGCTGAGCCATCTCAGCAGTCCACCATGTTAAACTTTTGGGGCCTAGCAGGATGACTCTGGATAAAAGCCTGATTATCTGAATTCAATCCCTGAAACCCATATGTGAAAGAAAGTCAATTACTGCAGGTCGATTTTCGCTTATTGCTATCTGGGCATGGTGGTTATGCCTTTATCCCAGAACTTGGGAGACAGAGGCAGGCAGATCTGTGAGCTTGAGGCTAGCTAGGTCTATTTAACAAATCCTCCCCCCAAATAAGTTCTTCAGCAGGGTGGTAATGGCACACACCTTTAGTCCCAGCACTGTGGAAGCAGAGGCAGGTGGATCTCTGAGTTTGAGGCCAACCTGGTCTACAGAAGTGAGTTCCAGGACAACCAAGGCTATACAGAGAAACCCTGTCTCAAAAAAAAAAAAAAAAAAGTTTCCTCAAGGCAGACAATGTTAACTAGTTTGTTTACCCCATATTTTAGGGCATGGCACAGTAAATTGTCAAAGATACGCCTCAGTCGAGAGCCTCTGGTATTCCTTGCTGGCGCAGTCTGATGTCAGGGAAGGACAGTAAAAAGATGTGTGCCAGTGGTCAGACAAGCCCATACACAGGTGGAAATTCATAGACTTGCCATGAAATTTCAACAGGTTTCTGGGCTTTCTGGGCCTTTGTTGCTCCCTCTGAAGGGCTTGGAGGCAAGCCGACCTATCATGTTGGTCTTAGCCACAGGCACCACCCCCTCATCTCCACAGTGATCCACAGCTCTGCCATGTTTCATTCGCTCTCTTTGTATGGGTGTGTTGTAAGCATACATGTTACACACATGTACAGGTGAACATGCCTGTGTAAGCACGAAGGACAGAAACTGATGTTGGACACCCTTCTTTCATCACTCCCTGCCTGATCCTGTGAGGCAGGCCTGGCTCACTGATTCAAGACGAGACTAGCGGGCCAGTGAGCTCCAGAGACCTTCGGGCAACTGTAGGCCCACACCTGGCTGTTTGCATAAGTGGGTGTCGGGGATCCGAATCAGGACTTCATGCTCACACAGCAAGCACTTCACTGACTGAGCCATCTCTCTAGCCCCCTTTCTCTTCTCAGGCTCCTTTGAAAGTTATTCCTAGCTTAGCCACACCTGTCCAGAGTTGTGGTGAAGAGAGGGAAAAGGACAAGCGTCCAGGACATCTACATTAGTCTGTCCTCATTCAGAACGAATGCACAAGCCGCCTCAGTGCCTCTCTGGCCCTGCCTGCTGGAGCATCAGAGGCACTGCGTCTGGTGGCCGGATGAGGCTTTTCTCTGCCTGAGAGTGGAGTCACTACTTGATTACGTTAAAGGTGCCAAATGAGCCATTATGCCTACTTGGTGCCTCTTACTACCATTTCTGTGCCGTCAGGGCCCATTTTCATGCGGCTGCCACTCCAACTCACTTCCCATAGACAGAGGCCTTCTGGGAAACCATCTCTGAGAACAGTGGTTTTATTTGAAGGGAAAAAACCCAAAACCACAAAACTATACACAAAGGATGGTTGTACCTCTCATTCCCCAGAAGAGGGCTTCAAGATCACAGCTGTGCAAAGTCCCCTTTGTGCTGCTCCAGCCACTGGTCCAAAGTCTGGGCCTTGGGGTTGAGTTGCAGGGTTAGGTCAATGTTCCGGTCGGGTTTCAGGGCATAGAAACGGAACATGTTGGCTAAGTCTCGGGCTCCCGGGAAGCCAAGCTTCTCATATTCTTCAGGAGTTGTCTGGAAACAGAGAACCCACATGTCTGCCTCCTCCACAGCCCTGGTGATGCCAGGTAGGTTTGGCTTCCTTCCAAGCCTAGGGAAGCCAGGGTATAGCTGGTTGGCCCTGCAGTCACTAAGTTGGGCCCTCACTGTGAGACCACATGAACACTTCCAGCTAGAAAGCCAGAAGCATGGAAACAGTGGCTCCTCCCAGGCTCCCTGGCTGTTCTTTCAGAGTCATGAGATGCAAGCCGTCAGTGCCCTTTGGAGCGGAAATCAGCCACATCACTTCCTCGTTCAAAAGCCAAAACTATTTATTCCTTTTTTCTTCCAATCCCAATCTGAATTCTTGAGTTCCTTAGGTCTTCTACAACCCTGGCTTAGTCCCACCTCTTTTTAAAGCCACATGGCCATTTAAGTGCACTTTTATTTACCCACCCCGCAGCAGGTTTCAGGTTTCTCTGTGTAGACCTGGCTGTCCTGGAACTCAGTCTATAGACCAGGCCGGCCTCAAGCTCAGAGATCCACCTACCTGCCTCGAAACAAACAAAAAACAAACCTTTTGGGAGTTAGGGGCATCGTGCAAGATCTGGGCCTTCAGAGCTCCGGGGAGGCACCCACCTTTGCATGCTGTACAGCCTTGCCAGTGTGTCGGGTGAGAAGTGCCGCGTACTCCTCTGCCGTGTGCCTGCAGGTGCTGAGCCCGAGGTTCTGCCCTACATACTCCTCTGGCTTCTTCAGCAAGCTGAGCACTACGGGGCCCAGGTCACTCACCGCCATTCCATCTATAGGGACGTCACCCATGGGCAAGTCTGTGAGAACAGATAAGAGTCCTCAGGGGAAGGGGTTGGCAGTGTTGGTCTGTCTTCGTGTAGTGCCAGCAGTACTCAAGTTCTGCGAACTAAGTCTGCCCCAGGGCTATGTCATTCACTGGGCAGATAGGACCCCCAAACTCTCTGTCAACACCGGTATCCTCACGAGAAGGTGAGTGACAGATCGTCAGAGGGCAGAGAATGAGCCCAGGTACCAGCCCCTCCAGCTTCGGCCTCTTCTCCACACTGCTCTAACCCACTGACCCCCTGGCAGGACACTAGTTGGCCGAAGCTCCCTTCCAAGCTGGGTCAGGCATCCAGTGTGTTTACAGACTGGCCAGCAGGTACTGTCTACATCCTCTGCTTCCTGTTATGAGCAGTAATAACCCTGGCTGGTTCTCTCATTACTCTAAGGAACCATTATATTAAACCCATTTCACAGAATGTTGAGGCCTGCCTAAGTTAGATGACTCCCAGTCTCGAGCCTGGTCTTAGACCCAGCATGACCTGGTGACAACTCCACTGTTGCTTCCTATGCTGCAAACTGTTTCACTCTGTGGAGTAGGGCACACTCACGCAGCAAGTAGCTCTGTCCATCTGCAGCTTTCTGGGGCAGGAAATAGGAAAGGAGGTTCTCAAAATAGCAAGGCAGGCGCACGCTGGTCATGGGAACACCAATGTCTCGGAAGTACTCCTCTACCTCCCCTTTGCCATCAAAGTGGCCTGCTGCCAGCCTTCCCGCCGTCAGCTTCTTAATGTTCTCCAGGCCACTGTAGACGACATAATGGAGGCCCAAGCGTTTGGCCAGATCCGCTAGAAGCTTGCCCTGGTAAGCAGGAAGGAGAGACAGCAGGGTAAGAAGAGGAAGGCTAACCATCCTCTGCTCAAGGATTAACTCCACAATGCCCCACCTGTGATGCTAAAAGCCAGACCCAACTACCCCGAGGAAGCCTCTGCTCTGGAATACTGCGCAAGTGCAGCACCACACTAAGCTTTCAAACTCCAGGGTCACCTTTAAGATCACACAATTTCAACTATGCACACTAAGGGATAGATCAGAGGTGAAGCCAGGAAGATCAGGG